GGACCTTGAAGCATGGATGGATGGGTGGATAGATAGATAATTAGATGGATGGATGATAATTAGATAATTAGATAGATAACTTAAGATAGACAGAACAGAATAACAGTTGGAAGGGACTTTGAAGCATGGATGGATGGATAGATAGATAAATTGGATGGATGGATGAGGGGGAGAGGAGGGCTTCCCCATATCTCTCCCACCCCCAAAACCAGAGCAGAATATTGCACGCATACCCTTCCCCAGCTGGTTCCAGGTCTACATTCCCACCTCCTCTTAGTCCAGCTCAGCTTCGACCTGGGTTATTTTTGGGTGTGTCCTGTGAACCCAACAACCCCTTGGCTTCAGGGCACGGGGTGGACTCCCAAATTGGACGAATTCCCTACACTGCTTCCCTCCCTGGACTTGGCCGATGGGAGTTGTAGTCCAAGCCATCTCGAAGGCCCCAAGACGGAAAGCTGCTTAAAATTGAGAAATAAGAGAGGAAATCACCAGGGATCAATTCACATTTTTAGGAATCGAATTGGGGAAGGGGTCCTGCCACCTCTAAGCAATTTTATTGGGAAATGAGGTGGTTGTCTTGCAATAGATTTTAAATTGGATGGTTTTTTTTCCTACATTTGCAGTTCTCTTTGCAGTTTGTGTCTAAGTTGACTTGTGGTTGATTGCACAAAGGAGCAGGTTTAATGTTGAATTATGGTTTGATGAATGGTAATTTTGGATTTAAATCAACTTCACTCCCATCTCATGCAGACTCACGCTCTATCCTCTTGGCTTTGGGTTTAGTGCTAGGTCTGAACCCGTCCGTTGTGGGTTTAACAAACTATGGCTAAAACAAACCATGTCTTGGTGTGTTGTACTAAAGCTGGTAGTTTTTGCTTGTGGTGCTGTTGTTAGTCTGTTGTAAGAATGCCTAGAGGGCTAAATTTACGGTTTAATGTGTGGTGCAAACAAATATTTGGTTAATTTCTAGTACGTTAACTTTAGAGAAGTTAACCTACCGGGAACATGAGAATAGAGCCTGTTTTTATAAGATCCCTCCTGGGATATTGTTCTTACAGTTTTGTTCATAACAGTAGAGGTAGTCCTTGACTTACAACCATTCATTCAGAGACCGTTCAAAGTTACAACGACCCTGAAAAAAGTGACTTAGGACCATTTTTCACACTTATGACTGTAGCACCATCCCCGTTGTCATGTGATTTACATTCTGCTGCTTGACAACAGGTTCATATTTACAACTGTTGCAGTGTCCCGGGGACACGTTATCCCTTTTGCGACCTCCTGAAACCAGATTCCCTTAACAACCAGGTTACTAACCGCTGGGATTCACTTAACCAAGAAAGTGGAGCAAAATTAAAAATGGGGCAAAATTCACTAGGCAACTGTCTTCCTCGCTTAGCAGCAGAACTTTTGGGTTTGATTGTGGTCGTAAGTCAAGGACTGCCTGTAGTTTGTCTTCCGTGTAGGGAGGCTTCTCAAAGACCAGAGTTTTCATGATGGAAAGGACCTTGGGAAGATGAGGAAGGAGCCTACCCTTTTCACGACAGCTGGCGGAAAAAAATCTGGCTGTGGACAGTTCCAGCTTTTGTGGGGAAAATGATGAGTCAGCCTCCATCGGAGCTGAAAAAATAATAATTGGTTGCTAAGACTCCAAGCTACCACGTGAAGGCTTTGTTTTGATCCGTGCTAGGAACAACCAGCTGATGCTTTTGGGGAATTTTAGGGAGTGATTTCCAGAAAATGGTTTATTTAATACAGCCCAAAAGGGTGCCAAATTAAACGAGGAGGGCCAAACAGGAGTTTTTTTTCCAAAACCAGCCACTGTGTATGAGTTGGGTAGCTGTGTAAATCTGGTAGGTAAATAAAACGCACCGAATTGGGAAATTCTACTGGGAAAAATATATGTCGTATTCTAAGTGTGGATGCAAGACTGCTCCAGGAATACTTTATCCCAGTTTTGGTTGCCATATTATAACAAAAAGATGTCCAGACACTGGAAAGAGTGCATAGAAGAACAATAAAGATGATTAGGAGACTAAAACGTATGAAGAATGGTTGCAGGAATTGGGCACGTCTAGTTTAATGAAAAGAAGGACTAGGGGCGACATGATAGCAGTCTTCCAATATTTGAGGGGCTGCCCCAAAGAAGAGGGAGTCAAGCTATTCTCCAAAGCACCTGAAAGTAGGACAAGAAGCAATGGGTGAAAACTAATCAAGGAGAGAAGCAACCTAAAACTAAGGAGGAACTTCCCGACAGTTAGAACCATTAATCAGTGGAACAGCTTGCCACCAGAAGTTGTAAATGCTCCAACACTAGAAGTTTTTAAGAAGAGATTGGACAGTCATGTGTCCAGAATGCTATAGGGTCTCCTGCTTGGGCAGAGGGCTGGACTAGAAGACCTCCAAGGTCCCTCCCAGCCCTGTGATTTTATGATTTGTACACCCCCATGAGCAGTTCCAAAATTAGATAGATAGATAGATAAAGAGATAAGAGAGAGAGAAAAAGAGAAAGAGATAGAGATGGATGGATAGATAGGGATGGATAGGTACTGTAGATAGATTTACTTGCTTACATGAGATATTAAGTGAATTCTGGAGTTCTTTTTCTCCTTTATAATATTGATTTCTTTTTTAAAATGCTCAGGAAGCGCTGTGTTTGTGCCAAAACTACCACATTGGATGTTGTGCAAGGTCAAAACCAATTACAACCCATTTAAAGCTTCTATTCTGTTGGCTGCATTTTGACTGAGCCAGGCAAAGCAGAAGAGGGAACATTCTGTGAACTGCATCTTAATTAGTATTTATCAGGCCGCCAGCGTGCCTTGATTGATTTCGAGAAGGATTCAAGAGTCGGTGGAGCAGTATTATATTTTTATTGTATTTGGCCAAGAGCTGGAAAAGTAGCTGGAAAAATCTAGCCCGTGCCTGGAAAGCCACGGGAATTCCTTCAAGCTCAGTGGATCCGAAAGGGCGTGTTCCTTCTGTGGTTTTGGTCCCTCCACAGTATACTCAACGCCGAGTGAGTCAGAAAGAAACAGGGAAAATCAGCTGGTGAATCTAAAAGAGAGGAGTGGGTATCACATCAAGGTTGCAGTTCATTTTTCATCTTGTATTTTGACTTGGTGCCACCGCTGAAGCATCAAACTGAGTGACAAACGGATTGTTGCGAGTTGCTGTCATTCAGAATTCCTAATTTTTCTCAACCTTAGCAACTTTGAAATATGTGAGCTCCCCAGAATTCCCCAGCCAGGATGCTTTAGGATGTATGGACTTCAACTCCCAGATTTCCCCAACCACCCTGCTTTCGGATGGGTGGACGTCAACTCCCAGAATTCCCCAGCCAGCATGCTTTAGGGTGTTAGAATAGAAGAGAAAACCCTATTTTTAATTGTTTCCATGTTCTTTTACATCTTCGGTGCCCTGTAATTGAGGAGGCAGAGTGTTAATACTGGAATTATACTGGAATTATAAATACTGTTCTGTTTATTGGCTACCTTTTTAGACTGCCATCCTCTCCAAGCGCCCATGAATTATACAAACCTTTGGAAGGTTAAATATTTCAACTGCCTTCTTCTTGAAATCCAGTCATCTGCATCCTAATGCAACGAAGCAGGTTGGAATCCCTTCTCTTTTCGTTTCAGGCACAGATGGTTGGACGGAGCTGGCCTGGAAACAGAAGCCATTCTTTCTCCGAGCTCTTTCTCGCCTCCATTTAGGGGGAGCTCAGGCACAAAATGGGGGACCCAAGAGAACTCTGTCCTCACCTGGATTGCATAGGTGAGGTCACCAAGGACGATATGCTTTTCAAGTCCAAGGTAAGAGGCTGTTTCTCTGCAGCAGCATTTCTCCTTGCTGGCATATACAGATAATCCTGGACCAAAATGGAGCCCAACATTTCTGTTGTTGAGCGAGACGTTTGTTAAGCGAGTTTTGTTCTATTTTACAACTTCTCTTGTTGTAGTTGTTAAGTGAGTCACTTCAGTTGATAAAGTTGGTCACACGGTCGTGACGTGAATCTGGCTTCCTCCTTGACTTGGCTTGCGAATCGCGTGACCCTGGGACACTAAGACCGTCATAAATGCGAGTCCGTTGCCAAGCGCCCGAATTTTCACCATGTGACCACAGGGATGCTGTAACGGTCATAAGTGTGAAGAAATCGGTCCTTTTTTCTTTTTTTTAATAATGTTTATTGAAAGTTTCAAAAAAATATTTTTTAAAAAAGAGAAACGTTCTCACATTTTTACGTTTTCATAGCAGTGTACATTTCTATTAGTGTCAATTAAAGTCATTTGCTACAAGTAAATCTATAACATTTCCTAAATCCTTACTTTTTTATGTTATTATTACAATTAGAATACAATATTTAATTATATTACTTTACATATATACATAGCTATATAGACATTTATCCTTATTTCCATTTTCCCTTGTTGTTTGTTTAATCGGTTTCACTAGACATCTTTACTTCCTTTTTATACAACAATTTGTACCATATATTCCAAATTGTAAAAAAAACTCCCCCTCTTCCTTATTTTTTAGTAACATGGTTAGTCTAACCAAGAAATCGGCCCTTTTTTCAATGGCGTCGTAACTACGAACAGTCACTAAATGAATGTTTGCACGTTAAGGTCTCATTCTGCACATTCTTGTTTCAGTTTAACAAAAAAAGAGAACACAAAACTGAAAATACGAAAGCTTTGTATACTAAACAATCAAACAATCATGGTCTCCTTTTAATGACACCCTAATCCTTTGCGGGGTGAAGTCTGGGCAGCTGAATGGAGCAGAGTGTTTACTGGCCGGATGCCTTTCCTGTCACCGGTGCGGAGTTTTATTCAGCAGATAAATTCACACCGTGCCCAGAGAGAAAGAACTGCCTTTACCCAGGCCTTCGCACCACTACTAAGCAATCAAATAATGTCAAAACAATACAGTCTATCTAAATAAAACATATAGTCTATAAATGCATCATAACATCACCACTTCTTGTTGGGAACACAAATGAGCATGTCAAAATGAGTCAACATTTTTCATTTTTTTCCCCCCCTCGCTCTTCCATGTGAATCTAGGGAACATGCCAGTCTTGCGGTGCGGGAGGACCAAATCTCTGGGCCTGCCTTCAGGTGAGACACCCCTCCCCACACTTTGAAAACCAAACTTTTGCGGAAGGGGGAATGTTGTGTTCCTCCCGCTGTCAAATCTCGGGAGATAACTGGACCACTGATGGTCCTTCGAGGGCACAGAGACCTGATTTTTTTCTGCCCGCGTTACAAATGCAGCCGCCTTCCACTTCCAGTTCAGTGTACTTCAGCTTAAATCGGTCTCTCTACTTCTCCAGGTTGGTTGCCATTACGTCGGTTGTGGAGAGTCCTTTGCGGATCACAGCACTTTGCACGCCCAGGTGAGGGACTTCCCACCGACTTCATTTGACTTAAGTGGAGCTGAGTTGATTTCCTGGCGTTGAGACTCTGGAAAGAGTGCAGAGAAGAGCATCCAAGAGGATTAGGGGACTGGAGGCTAAAACATACGAAGAACGGTTGCAGGAACTGGGCCTGGCTAGTCCTAGTAAAGAGAAGGACCAGGGGTGGCATGATAGCAGTCTTCCAATACTTGAGGGGCTGCCGCAAAGAAGAAGGGGTCGACCGATTCTTCAAAACATCAGAAGGCAGGGTGGAAACTAATCAAGGAGAGAACAAATCTAGAACTAAGGAGAAATTTCGTGACAGTGAGAATACTTATCCAGAGGAACAGCTTGCCTCCAGAAGGTCCCTTCCAACGCTGTTATTCTGTAACTTGGTGAAGTCTGTGAATCACAAACCCTAATGGCTATTTTGCTGCTGTTGCTTCTTCTTCTTTTTTTTTCTTTTATCCTTTTCCCCACTCAACCCGCACCCAGGCCAAAAAGCACAATTTGACGGTGAACCTGACCACGTTTCGGGTGTGGTGCTATGCGTGCGAGAAGGAGGTGTTCTTGGACCAAAACCTGGCTTCCCATCCTACCAACCTGCCTTCCAAATTTATGGAACAGGTAGCGAGTCTTATTTTGTGGACTTTATTCCTCTTTACCGCCCCCCCCCCCTCTCGGTTCGAGAACGCGAAAGAGTTGCTGGGCAACAGCAAAAATTGTATTTATGCACAATATTGGAAAAATGAGGGCACACGTACAGATGAAAGTATAATTAGAAAAAATATTAGACTGTGCGGAGTTGGATAGATTGACATGAATAATAAGAGATAAGGAAGAAGAATATTTTTAACATGGGATTTGTTTATCAACGGTTAGATAAAAGAGGTAGACATTAGAAGATGAAAGCACACTGATATGTATAAGTGAATAATGCAAGTGTGATGACTCGGGGCACGGCACTAAGGCAACCCAGTCACATAAGTAAGAAGAGTCCCTTTATTATCTCCAACTTTGCCCCCAATGTCCAGGTTACCTTCAGCTGGGGGGAAAAACTCTCCCAGAAACAGCCTTTAAGTGGAGGAAATTCAGTTCGAAAACAAAGTACATACAAACTGTAAATAAAAATCCACACAAACCACGCTGCAGCAATTAACTGGACAGGGCAGGAGAAGGAATTGCAGCCTTGAAAGGCCAGCAAAACTCACACAGTTGGGAAGACGCCAGGAACACACATAAGCCACGACGATACCAGATAATTCATGATTTGCTCCCAACAACTTTGCTGTGCACAGCTTCCCTTTTTAAACACTGTGTTCCCAGCTGTAGCTAATGAAGGGAATCAGGGCCCTTTCCTCCCCCTGAAAGCCATGCAACCCACATTGCTCCCTTCTCCGTTGCTCCCTTCTCCGTTCCTCCCTCGCCCTAGGATGAAGAGGGGGTGGGCCTGGGTCTTCCTCTGAATTCCCTCTTCCCTGCTCTGCCCAGCTAGACTGTGCCCTTCCCCAGTTTCTTCCACAGCCAACGGAGCCACACTCCCGCTCCCTGTCATCTGTTTGGCTTCCCCTTCCGTATCAGATTCCGACGGGCATGACAGGAAGAATTGGATTATACATAAGTAAACATTAGTAATATTATTCCAGTTATTATTATTACCGGTATCAGAGGTGGTATGCAGCAGGTTCTGACCAGTTCTGGAGAACCGGTAGCGAAAACTTTGAGTAGTTCGGAGAACCGGCAAATCCCACCTCTGACTGGAGATTTTACAGTACCCTTCCCCTGCCACGCCCACCAAGCCACGCCCACACAACCGGTAGTAAAAAATTTTTGAATCTCACCACTGACCGGTATTATTATATTGTGTAAGTAAATTGATCCAGACAATACACTGTTTATTAAGCACTTCAAAGGCATCCTGAGCACCATTGCTCTCAGAGAGCAAGTGCATTGCCAGGACCCAGATGACGGCTTTTCCAAGGAGAATGCTGTGCCCCCCACCCCCCAAAAATCTTGCTTTTCCCATTCCTGCTCCAGGATGCTGTCCCACCTGCCCACCCGCTCAAAGCCGTTCCGATTGCCGTCGCTGACGAAGGAGAATCGGAATCGGAAGATGACGACCTCAAACCAAGAGGTGAGAAGTTTGGGGTTCCTTTTGCTGTGTGTGTGTGTGTGTGTGGCTGGGGTGGGGAGAACCAAAGCGTTACAAAAAGCAACAAAGGGGTGTCAAGAGCTTCACCCATTGGCATTCCTGCCCCCTTTAGGCCTTACGGGAATGAAAAATCTCGGGAATTCGTGTTACATGAACGCTGCTCTCCAGGCTCTCTCGAACTGGTAAGTCGGAGAACTGTCATTGCCAGGTGGTCCTCGAGTTACGAAAATACGAGCCCACTGTTAAGCGAGTTGGCCCCATCTTTGTAAATAGTTGGACCGTGTTGAGGGAATTATTTGTTTAGCAGAGCAATGGCATGCAGGAAAAAATGTCCTTGTGTCTGGTCGTTCTGGTGTACAGTGCTGTATAGCATCATTTTGAGGGTAGAAGTTGAAAGAATTTATGTCCAGGATGTGAGAGGGTCTGTAAATATTTTCACAGCCCTCTGTTTGATTTGTGCAGTATACACTCCTCGATGGAAGGCAGGTTGGTAGTAATGGTTTTTTCTGCAGTCCGAATTCTCCTCTGGAGTCTGTGTCTGTCCTGTTGGGTTACAGAACCAAACCAGACAGTGATAGAGGTGCAGATGACAGACTCAATCATTCCTCTGTAGAACTGGATCAGCAGCTCCTTTTGGGCAGTTTGAGCTTCCTGAGTTGGCGCAGAAAGAACATTCTTTGTTGGGCTTTTTCAATGACATTTTTGATGTTAGGTGTCCATTTTAGGTCACGTGATTTAGATCCCCGGGACACTGCAGTCACCATAAATATGAGTCAGTTGCCAAGCGTCTGGATTTTGATCACCTGACCATGCTGGGGGGGGGGAGATGATGCTGCAGCGGTCGTAAGTGTGAAAAACTGTCATAATGGGTCCCCTTTTGCGACCTTCTGACGAGCAAAGTCCACAGAAGAAGCCAGATTCACTTCACCACCATGGCAAGAAAGGTCGTAAAGCGGGGCAAAGCTCATTCTTAAACAACTGTCTCGCTTAGCAACAGAAGTGTTGGGCTCAGTTGCAGTCGTAGGTTTGAGGACTGCCCGTACGTTTGAATGGAGAACGCTCTTCTTTGTTTCCGTTTTTTGCTCTTCGGTATCTGCGTGAAACTGCCGGAAACCTTCTCACCCACCTTCTTGCCCCCGTTTTTTTAGCCCCCCACTTACACAGTTCTTCCTGGAATGCGGGGGGCTGGTGAGAACCGACAAGAAGCCAGCGCTCTGCAAAAGTTACCAGAAGCTGATTTCCGAAGTCTGGCACAAAAAACGGTGAGTTGGTTGAGGAGAGCACCAATGCCAACTCAAAAAGATAGATACTCCTTTGGTCCTTTTAGCTGCCAGAAAAAGGGAGTGGGGGAAAACAAGGCATTCCTTACATGCCTAGATAATCGCCCTGGCAGCCCAAAGTTGTCGGAGTGCAAGGATATTATTGGAGAGCATGATTGAAGACTCTTGGCTATGGATGTGTCCCATGGGAGAATATACATCCAGGGAATGGGTGGAAGACCAAGGTCAAGGGGGAAATGTATGTATGATGTAATTTAGGATCGGCTGTACCAAGCTAACGCCAGCATGGCCGTTTCTAATAAATCATTTTTCTTTTCTCTGAGATGAAGCTGGAGACTTTTGATTTGAATGGGGGTGGATTTCTTGAAGCCCTGACACCCAGTTTGAGAGGTTAAAGTAAATTCTTAGCATTGGTGGCGGGTGGATGCATGGATAGGAAAAAAAACCCACACAATCCTCTCACTCATCCCTGAACTTGGTTTTCTTGTAGACCTTTCTTTACCGAACTAGTTAACATCATCAGTGCTAGGAAGAAGTGAGGTGTGCTCCTGTTTATATATTATAGAAGCTTGTTTTCTTGCAGACCTTTCAGTACTGAACTATGTAAGGCGATGACATTACCTAGTCGGGTCATGAAACGTCTGCAATCAAACAACTAAGCTCCAAGCAACTGTATGCGAACAAGGAGCAAGTCACACCCGCTAGCACTGATGATGAAACCTGGTTGGGTAATGAAATGTCTGCAAGAAAACAAGCAAGCTCAGGGAGCACAATCCTTCTCCTCCTCTCCCCAAACTCCACTCCACTGAAGTTACTTAGTTGGGTAATGCCACCATTTGCAAGCAAACAACGAAGCTCAGAGATACTGTATGAAAAAACAGGGAGCAGACGCCACACTCACTCGCTCTGATGACGTTCCCTAGTTGGGTCATTTGGCGTCTGCAAGAAAGCAACCCAACTCAGTCACTGTATATATAAACAGGGAGCAAGTCACACTCACAAGCCCTGATAATGTTACCTAGTTAGGTCCTGAAACGTCTCGCGAGCAAACAGCCAATCTCCGAGCTACTGTACATAAACAGCAAACCCCACACTCACTAGCCCTGATGATGTTCCCTTGTTGGGTCTCGAAAGGTCTGCGAGAAAACCACCCAGCTCAGAGGGCACCAAGGACCCCACAGCAAACTGCTGGCTGTTTAGATGGCCTCTAATTGTGTGTTATTTCCGTTTGTCCTCCCTTCCTCCTAGCCCCAGCTACGTGGTCCCCAGCAGCCTCTCCCACAGCATCAAGCTGATCAACCCCATGTTCCGGGGCTACGCACAACAGGTGAGCAGCTTGCTAAGGTGGGAATTACCTGGGATCTCCCTCCTGCAAATGGTTACAAGTGATTCTTAATCTTCCTCGCTGTGGAAATAGCACTTCCCTATTATTGGGTACGGAGTCTTGCCTCAGTCACATCTGGGTCGCCAAAACGTTTTGAAGTTCGTTCGCGGGACGTCTGTCTTTTGAATAAACCCATTTTTTCCCCCTAACAAACCTCTTTTTGCCCCCTTCCCAGGACACGCAAGAATTCCTCCGCTGCCTGATGGACCAACTTCACGAAGAGCTGAAGGAGCCGATGGTGGCCGAACTGCGCGACTCGGATGCCAGCGACACCGACGAGAAGAGGGAGGGGGACCGCAGCCCCTCGGAGGACGAGTTCCTCTCCTGCGACTCGAGCAGCGACCGCGGGGAAGGGGACGGGCAGAGCAAAGCGGGCTCGGCCGAAGCGGAGCTGCTGATCCAGGAGGAGGCGGGCCGCAGCATCTCCGAGAAGGAGCGGATGAAGGAGCGGAAATTCTCCTGCCACCAACGGCGGAGCAACTCGGAGCAAGTCGACGAAGATGCTGACATTGACACCTCGGTGATGGCAGTGGAGGGCGGGGCTTCTCCAGAAGGGCTCCTCCCACCCCCGCCTCGACCCGCCAGCCCTGCAAGGATCCCAGGTAGGATCTATGTGAGGCGTCCTTCCTTCCTTCCTTCCTTCCTTCCTTCCTTCCTTCCTTCCTTCCTTCCTTCCTTCCTTCCTTCCTTCCTTTTTCTCCCATTTATCTACTCTTTTCTCTTTTCCCATGTTTCTTCCTTCCTTCCTCTCTCCCTCCCTTTCTCCCATCGTTCCTCCCTCCCTCCCTCCCTCCATCTCCTCATCCTCCCTCCCTCCGTTATTATGTATCTTCCTTCTCCTTTTTTCCTTTCCCATCTTCCCCGCCTCCCCTCCTTCTCTTTTCATCTTCTCCTCCCTTCCTTTTTATCTTCTCCTCTTTCTCCTTCTCCTCTCTGCATTTTTTAAGCCGCCCAGAGTCTCCTTTACAGGGGAGAGGGGAGACATAAAAATTTGATAAATAAAATGCATCAAATCTTATCCATTCCCAGAACCAGATAATGATGCTTACCCACGTTGTTCCTCGCGGCCCTGCAGCCCCGTCCACCACGATGTGTACGCCAAACTCTCGAATCCTCCCCATTCCAGCCCGGTGAGGCTGGGGCCCTCGTACGTGCTGAAGAAAGGTAGGAGGAGAACATGTCTACGCGATGGGGTTATTTGAGTCCTCACCTGATTGGCCCCTTTGCTGCTGGGGTTGTGAATCCCATTGGCTGGGCATCCGAAGGGATAGGCAAATGTTGGATGGGGTTGATAGGCGTCGTTGCAGGATGTCAGCTTGTTCCAAGCAAAGCTGCCTTTTGCAATTGACTGGTGGCGATTTGGTCAGTGTTAGGAGCGTGGTGGCACAGTAGTTAGAATGCAGGATTGCAGGCTAGCTCTGCCCACCGCCGGGAGTTCGATCCTGACCAGCTCAGCTTTCCATCCTTCCAAGGTGGGTAAAATGAGGATTGTTGGGGGCAAGATGCCGACTCTAAGCCGCTTAGAGAGGAGGGCTGGAAAGCATCATCGTGAAGGCTTAAGTGCTGTTGCTGTCGGTGTGCAGGTAGTGTTTCCGGCTATTTTGCAATTGCACCCAAGGAGCCTATCGCTGCGGATCAGTCTCTTTCCTTCTGCCGCAGTCGTTCTGTCCTTATTCACCTCCTTCTCCAGCTCAGCTGTTGACTGCTGGAAAAAAGAAGAAAGAGTTACGTTACCGTAGCGTCATCTCTGACATCTTTGACGGCTCCATTCTCAGCCTCGTCCAATGCCTCACCTGTGACCGAGTAAGTTTCTGTGCAACTTACTTTTCTTGCAAGATCCCATCGGGGTCGGTCACCAAAACCTGAGGTTTAGCCTTCTGAGCTTTCGGACTCCTGCTGGAACCCATCCTTGGGGAACTTCTATCTATCAGAATGGGTTGTTTTGGGCTGTTCTGTGCGTTGTATTTATGTGCTGCCTTCCTATTGGCTGATTGGCGTGTCGATGGCCAGCGATTGGCTGCTGTTTCCTTGTGCTGCCAAGTCCTCGGCTCCTAAGTACCTGATAGGCTGGTGTTAAATCAGCACTCCTGTTGACTGACAAGCCGCCCATTTCCCAGGCTTCAATCATCTCCCTGGCTATTTTTGTACCTGCTTGGCCAACAATCTTAGTAGCTGCGAAATTGAATGTATGTCCTTGTTCGTTGGCTTTCATTTCCACTTAGTTACTTTTCTGTTCCTTCGGTGCCCTCCAGGTTTCCACCACTGTAGAGACTTTCCAAGATCTGTCACTGCCGATTCCCGGGAAGGAAGATTTGGCTAAACTGCATTCAGCCATTTACCAAAATGTGCCCATCAAGGCAGGAGCATGCGGCGACAACTACGCCGCCTCGCAGGGCTGGATTGCCTTCATCATGGAGTACATTCGCAGGTCTGTGGATCTTGGGAGCGCCTTCAGATGTTGAGGCCACCTGGGGAATTCTGGGAGTTGAAGTCCACACCTCTTAAGGTTGCTAAGGTTAAGAAACAGCGCTCTATTGTTTCTTGATTTATTGTGTTTTCACACTGACTTTGATAGCTCAGAACAGGCCACATTGGTTGAGAAGGAGGAGCCTGTTTTTTTTCTTTTCTAATGTTAACAATGAGAGAGCCAAATTCACAGTCACATTTCTGGCAAAGCATCAAGAGTGAATGTTGGGTCTAAAATGCGCTACGTGGATGCAGGCAAATTTGAACCCGGGGTCTCCCTGATCCATTTCAATGCTCGCATTAAGACCTGTTCTACGGGGTTTGTAGAGAGCAGTATTGTGGGGTCCTTGGTGGTCCTCTGAGCTTGGTGGTTTTCTTACAGAGATTTCACTACCAAACTAGGTAACATCATCAGTGCTAGAACGGAGGGTGTTAGCTCCATAGTGACTCACACAGCGCGTGACTACTATTGTGAGACAATCCCGGAGCACAACACAGCACAAATAGGCTTTTTCATTTAGAGTGGTTTACATACAAGACTGATGTGTGTGTGTGTGTGTGTGTATGTGTGTGTGTGTGTGTGTGTGTGTATGTATACATATTAGGCACATCAATCAGTCTTCGTTACTCTGCACGGAGAGTAACTACAGTGGAGACAGAACACGAGGAGAGAGAGATCTACCCTCTCACGGCCTCCTTTATATAGACAGCTTCTTAAAGCGGCAGTAACCCTGCTGACTCATCCTCATTGCATCAGCATTTACAGCAGCTGGTCAGCTATTAAACCTCCAATACCTTAACATTGCCTTCTCCAGGTTTGTGGTGTCCTGTATCCCCAGCTGGTTTTGGGGGCCCGTCGTTACCCTGGAAGACTGCCTGGCTGCCTTTTTCGCCGCAGACGAGTTGAAAGGTGTGTGTGTGTGTGTGTGTGTGCAGGGAGGAAGGCTGCTTACGACCCTCTCGTGCGGCTTCCACACCCAGGCCCTTGAAAGAAAGGGGGAGTGGGGTTACAGGTTGCCCTCGACCTACCAGCCCTCACACTTATAACCGACACAGCATTCCCAGGGTCCCAAAATCCGGGCACTTGTCACCGGCAAGGGTCCCTTGGCTCACCTGATCGATCATTTGCCCTCTTCCCAGCCAGCTTCCCACAAGCAAAATCCACAGGGGAAGTATTCACTTCACAACTGCTTCGATTCGCTTAACCCCATGCCTCAAAAATGATGTAATCCGATGTGACTCGCTGAATAGCTGCCTTGCTTAGCGGTGGAAATGCTGGTCCCAGTTGAGATTGTAACAAGTAGTTCAAGGACTATTTGTAGACCTGTGGGTTTGTGTTTCATTTTCCAGTTCGATCACCTGGTGGTCCCCCATCGAAGCACAAACCGTCAGCCTTGCATAGTTTGTTTTTTTTGGTTGAGAGAGAGAGAGAGAGCAAGAAATTAAAAATGTGGGTCATTGTCTGTTTTACATCTGCCTTTATCTTACTTTCTCTCCTAGGTGACAACATGTACAGCTGTGAAAGGTGTAAAAAGTAAGTCCCTTTTCCCACCCTCCGTCGTGGGGAGAAGTCCTCCCTTCCCATAAAAAAAAAACCACTCCCCCCAAAAAGGGATATTTTCCCTGGTGGCTCCCACTTTTGCAAATTTTGAGGAACGATGCTCAGCATCCCGGTTGGGAGAATAAAATTGGAAGCAGCCCAGAAGCGGCTGCGTTAGCGGATCCAGGAAAGTTGGCTGGGGAATTTAAAGTCCGGAGATCTTAAACGTCACCACCGTTTGAGAAACCCTGGACCAATCCTCCTCCTCCTCCTCCTCCTCCTCCTCCTCCTCCT